CATTGAGAAGCCTTCGATTATCAAGCCTATTTAATGATAGCTTGGAGATTATGAACGAGCTTTGCAAAATAAGAATCAATTATCCTGATGTTTCAAGAAGCAAGGAATTTTGGATTCATAACACTGGCCCATTTGGATGCTAATTCTATGTATATATTCAACTTGGCAAGATTCCTTCAAGGCCAAATGAATATGGGTGTGTGAGTTCTCACAACCGTGCTACCAAACTCTTCAATTTATAGCTTCATGATTTCTGCACCAAGTTACAAGCACAGTCTGTAGATAAAATATCACTTATATTGACATCTTCACTATCTAATCTGATCTCATGGCAAATTATTCACGATATAATTTGGAGTATACAGTGACGATATGCTTGGGATATGGAGGATCTTCACTAAATTATGATCAGTTAAATTTGATTGTGAGGCAAATCAAGATGTTGGATCATTGAGTTCGGTTACAGCAAAAGGCGTATACAGTGATCGCTTACTAAGATTTAGTGAGGTGTCAATTTTCAGGTCACCGGAGGTGGGGGCGTTCGGTGTCGAACCGGGAAATGAGCCTGGCCACTTAATACGCAGGTGTCAACCCGAACCATATTCGCTGCTTCGTTACACCGAACCCGTTTTTACAAGACGAACAGTTCAAGATTTACCGCGACCCCGAACCCGACCCGCTTCGGGTTCGGGTGATCAACAACCCGACTCGGCGGACCCGCTGCCACACGGGCAAGGCCGGGAGCAGCGGCTCACACTGAACCGGCTGGCAGCGGTCATGCGATTGCGGGTCACGCGGGGCATTCACGATCGGTATCGCCCGCAACGCCGGGTCAGGGATTCGTGATCGGCTTCTACTCTTGTTCGGTTGATTGTACCGATCAGCGAGGTTCAGGCAGCGCACGCTGCGCGGGGCGAGGATCGCGAATCTGGATTGCCATGTGTGCCCCGCCGGCGGGAATCGGCTAACAGGATGCGCTGGGCCTGGCGATTCGCTTGCGCCGTGGTCTGACGCGGGTCGCCGCGGGCTGTTCACGACAATAAGGATGCGTCTCGGGGCCAGCGCCTCGGGCAGCCAGACCGCTTAGTCTGGGACCAAACGGGTACGCCGTAGGAAGGGCTCTGGACGCGGTGGCGGGAGGAAGCCGGACCGGTCCTCACGCGGGATTCGCCGATCGGAGGGGCGGGATTTGAAAAATGAAAAAATTTAAATATCAACGGTCGCGGGTTGACCCGACAACCCGTCGGAGTCAAACCCGAAACCCGACCCGTTTTTTCAAACGGGTCAATTTTTGGAAACCCGGAACCCGACACCATTTTTTGAAATCGGTCGGGTCCAACGCCGAATTTTTCCGGTTCGCGGTTTGAGGATCTACTATTGTCGTGCTCAAAAATATGACACCCTATACTAATTATTGGAAATGGGATGAATCGCATGTACATAATGCACCAAATTTAATTTATTTCATCAAAAAAATAACTCACTGGAAAGCAACTTTGAGCCACCGAGATGTGGCTTAATGCGGTGAATTGACCCCAGCATCTACGTTTAAAAATTAATTATCATGGGTATATGATGACAAAGCTTATACCCACTTTTATTTTAAAAAAAAAAGATAAATAAAAGTTCAAATGAAACAATGCAAATCACATTGATTACTGTCGTATCTTCTGAAGAATTTTCTGCGCCTAAATCTCCTGTTAATACTCTACGTACGTAAATCCGGCTGAGCTAGCGTCGTATCCCTCCTTAAAACCGCTAGCTAGCCTCGTCAACTCCCTCGTTGTTAAAAATGAAACCGAGCAAGCTTCAGTGGTGTTGCTCCCAGTTTTGTTTTAACTTGACGCCTACAGCTCCTTTCTCCGACAACTGGTGAAGGCTTCTAAATCCTCCAATCCACGGCGTCCCTCACCTTCCCTGTCCGTTCACAGCTAAACCTCCAAACTGAAGCCCCACAAGCTTACTACCTGATCTCTACCCCACCTTTTATCCACGTCCGAGCCTTCTTCTTCCCGTTTTAAAAAAAAATTCACCCAAGCACCTTCAAATAACCTTCAGCAACTTATACCTTCACGTGATAGCATAGGAGAAGGTAAAAGCTGAATACAACAACTGTGCTTGTCCTTTAAAAAAAAATTCACCCAAGCTCCACGTGAAACCTGTGCTAGTTCATCCTAGTCAAGTTATTACTTTTTTTTTTACTGTTTTGTTTCGTCTTTAGCCTATTCAAAAAAAAAAGAGCTTTTTCCTTTTTATTCTCTCACTTCTCAGCCACATCAAAAGGTCACACACTT